GTCCCTCATGGCAATCTACTTGTCCCTCATGGCAATCTACTTGTCCCTCATGGCAATCTACTCGTCCCTCATGCCAATCTACTCGTCCCTCATGCCAATCTACTCGTCCCTCATGCCAATCTACTTGTCCCTCATGGCATGACACCACAGAGCCCAGGCTGGCCACCACAGAGCCGAGGCTGGCCACCACAGAGCCCAGCCTGGCCACCACAGAGCCCAGGCTGGCCCCCCCAGAGCCGAGGCGGGCCACCACAGAGCCCAGCCTGGCCACCACAGAGCCCAGCCTGGCCACCATTGAGCCCAGCCTGGCCACCACAGAGCCCAGGCTGGCCACCACAGAGCCCAGCCTGGCCAACACAGAGCCCCATTGACCGTGAGAGAGCCCCATTGAGCTCACATGAGCCCACACAGATACTAGTATTGGTGCATTCCTAAATTTTACCACAACCTGGCAAATGTTACCAAGGGGTCCCAGCCCTAGAAAGGTTTAGAACCACTGACACAGGGGCTTACAATCCCCTATGTCAATGGTTCTCAACCTGTGGGTCGCGACCCAAAAGTGGGTCACATCCCACTGTTGAGGGGGCCACCACATGCTTTGTGCTGCGCTAGGTGAGAGGCTCCTCAGCCTGTCAGTTCTCCGGCCGCGCCGATAGATGGCGCTTCCTCGCTCTCTCCTCTATATTCTACAAAAGAAAATTGCCGCACACGGCGCTAAAGTGTTCGGGTTTTTACTGGAAGAAAAGTTGGCAACCCTACTCCTAAAGTATCCGTAGTTAGGGTTGCCACCTGTCCAGGATTCACCCGGACAGTCCGGGTTTTGAATGCTGTGTCCGGGTTTCATGGCAGCAGAAACCCGGACACAAGGTGTCATACAGACAGGGGCAACCAAAATGAAGATAGGGGCTACTGGCCCCCCACTGAAAATAGTCTCAACTGTGATATTTACATATGACTAAGCCCCCACTCATTCTCCCAAAAAAATGTCAGCGCATCGCTTGAGTGTTCGGGTTTCGCTTGAAGAAAAGGTGGCGACCCTATCCGTAGTATGTTTATGTACGTGCGATGGGACATTAGATTGTCAGCTCCTTGGGGGCGGGGACTGATGTCCACGTACAGTGTGTAAGGAGCCGTATGAATGTCTGTAATCACTAATAGCGAAACACATACGATAGACCGCAGTATTTATATTCAACACACGACGGTGATCTGACTTTGAACGCACCAACAGGAAGTGATGTAAGATATAGAAAGGAAGTGATGTAAGAGTATAAACAGGAAGTACCAGTAAGAGATGAGTTGGGAGGAAGTAGAGAGGAGACATTGCTGGAACTGGCAGCAGAGGAGCTAAGAAGATATTATTTTATATTTACACCCGGTAACCCCCCTCCCCCCCGTCATGTCCGTCTTCGTCCTCCATAGTCACTGTGATGTCTGTTGCGGTTTATAGTAATAGAATATTGTACCGTGTCAGCCATCCATTAGTGCCAAAAGTCGGAGTTTGTGATTCCAGGAACAGACAAGGGGCGTGTCTGGGTGGTGACGGGAGAGGTGAGCGGTGCCGGGAATTCTGGGACATGATCCAGGAACAGACGAGGGATGTGTCTGGGTGGTGACTGTATCATTGTGTGTGTCAGGTTCCTATAAGGTGTCAGGATGTCTCTGTCTATCTCTCCATGGAGGAGTGGGAGTATCTAGAAGGACACCGGGATCTCTACAAGGACGTGGTGATGGAGAATGAGCCGCCCCTCACATCACCGGGTAAGAGGAGAGAGCAGTACGGAGGCTCCGCCTACATCCCCCATCATCTGATACACACATAGAAACAATGTATTCAGTCAGTGTGTGTGTTTCCTACAGATGGATCCAGTAAGAGGAACCCAGATCTAATCCTGAGGAATCTTCCTCACCCCATGAAGGAGATCACAGAGGTGAGGATCCATTCTCCTGTTTGTGGTGCAGGAAGTCCTTCAAGACAAAAGCTGAACTTTATATACATCTCCGATCTCATACCAGTGTCATTTATACATGTTCAGAATGCGGGAAATGTTTTAAGGAGGAAAGCAAATTTCTTAAACACCAGAGAATTCACACAAGAAATCATCAGTTTTCATGTTTGGAGTGTGGGAAAGGTTTTACTAATAAAAAGCAGCTACTTATACACCAGAAAACTCACAAAGGAAGCCGTTTTTCATGTTCAGAGTGCGGAAAATATTTCACTGCTAAAAGTACACTTCTGACACACCAGAAGATTCATACAGGCGATCGCCCATTTTCCTGTTCAGATTGTGGGAAATCATTTATTCAGAAAGGAGCTCTTCATAGACATGAACGATGTCACACAGGTGAACGTCCTTATTCATGTTCAGAATGTGGGAAAACATTCACTCGAAAAGGACACCTTGTTAATCACCAGAGATATCACACAGGGGATCGTCCTTATTTATGCTCACAGTGTGGGAAAAGTTTCTCTGAGAAAAGATTACTCCTGACACATCAAAGAATTCACATGGGTGAGCGTCCTTATTCATGTTCAGAGTGCGAAAAAGTTTTCACTCGTAAAGATAAACTTCTAACACACCAGAGGATTCATACAGGCGAGCGTCCCTTTTCCTGTTCAGAGTGCGGGAAATCATTTATTCAGAAAGAAGCTCTTCGTAGACATCAGAGAAGTCACACAGGTGAGCGTCCTTATTCATGTTCAGAATGCGGGAAAACATTCACTCAAAAAGGACACCTTGTTAATCACCAGAAAAGTCACACGGGTGATCGTCCTTATTCATGTTCAGAGTGTGGGAAAAGTTTCACTGAGAAAAGATTACTCCTGTCACATCAAAGAATTCACACGGGTGAGCGTCCTTTTTCATGTTCAGAGTGCGAGAAATCTTTCAACCAGAAACGAGACCTTGTAAATCATCAGAGAATTCACATGGGTTGAGTGTCCTTATTTATGTTCAGAGTCCTGGAAATCATAAAGGATCTGTCGTTATTCACCAAAGAATTCATACAGGTGAACGTCCATGTTCATGTATAGTGTATGGAGAATATAAGAAGCACTTTGTAGACATCAGAGAATTCACACATTTGAGCGTCCTTTTTCATGTTCAAAGTGTGGGAAAAGTTTTACCCGAAAACAAGTATTTGTTAGACATTGGAGATGTTGTAAAGGGCCACACCGCCAGAAAAGTGTTGTACGTGTTTTATTGAAGTCACCCCGATGTGTGTTCTGGAGACTTTTTACCATTGCAATGTAAAACTCCGGAAGAGACCGGATCTGATGAGAGCTGCCTATCCTTCCCTCATACATTCATTCCCGGTGATAGGATTCCCCAGAAGTGAAAGTTACAATCTGTGCTGTGAGCGGCTGGTCAGGGCTGATCACTCAGATCTGGGCTCTACGCTCTGTGGAATGGTGGAAGTGGGCGGAGTCACCTGGATCTGAAGTGCTGTATGTAAAAAATTTAACTTGCCGTTCAATCAATTAAAATGCCTGTACACAATGTGTGGGAAATGTGCGATTTTTCCTCACGAGGATGGCGGTCCATGTAGAGGATTGCAGGGAACAGAAGACTGTGGTGGGTTGGTGCGGGTTCCTGCACATAATTGTCACGCTCGTGGGGCGCTGTTCTCTAATACGGTGGGTGTGCTTGGCGGAGCTAAAATATGCATAAAATTAAAGAGAAACATTTGTATAATCTAAGGATGCGCCGATACCATTTTTTCCAGACCGAGTACCAATACTTTTCCTCAATACCAATTTCTGAGACTTTTTTTTTTTTGCGGGGTCTCAGGTGGGATGGGCGGGATCTCAGGAGGGCTTGCTCATCTGAGCCGCTAACTAAACTCAGTTCAGTTCGTGAATAACAGGGAGCCCCCTAATGTGTTCCCGAAAACAAACAACCAGCTCTTGTATCTTATTAGTGTTCTGTCGGCCTTTTCACGCAGCAGCAGAAGGAGAGAGAGCCCTGAGCAAATCACACGCAGCACCCGTCCTTCAAGGGAGCGACCCGATATGGCTGCACACGCCGCACAGATCTGTACGGGCCGGCTCTTAGCTGACGTACGGCTACGTCACATGACAGCGGGGTCAGCGCATGCTGAAGCGCACAGTGCGCAGAAGTCGCCAACTGTCTGCAGAGTCAATAGCTACAGATCTCCAAACTCCATGCGGCCGTCAGATTGGCACAACAACAGTGCGTAGAGAGCTTCATGGAATGGGTTTCCATGGCCGAGCAGCTGCATCCAAGCCGCACATCACCAAGTGTAATGCAAAGCGTGGGATGCCGTGGTGTAAAGCGTGCCGCCACTGGACTCTAGAGAAGTGGAGGCGTGGTCTCTGGAGGGACCAATCACGCTTCTCTGTCTACCAATCCGATGAGCGTGTCTGGGTTGGGCGGTTGCCAGGGGAACGGTACTTGCCTGACTGCATTGTGCCAAGTCTAAAGTTTGGGGGGGGGGGGTTTCATGGGTAGGGCTTGGCCCCTTAGTTCCAGTGAAGGGAACTCTTACGGCATCAGCATACCAAGACAGCAATACTAATGGTGATATAGTGTATGTGCAGAAAGTAACCAAAGTGTAGAAATAAGAAGGGACATCATTCATATATGTAGTATGTAAGCAGGCAAGTATGTAAACACGGTTAATTACAAATCTACATAATTCGTGGGAAGAAAACAGAACAAATGCCGGGAGAATTGATAGAACATAGCCAACGTCAGGAACCTGCTGAGAAGTATAAAGATGAAGCCAGAAGAATGAACAGAAAACTAAATCAAGTTAGATATTTACATAAAAGACCGTGACTATGACATCAACATTTTTTTTTTATTGATTTAAAGCAGGCACCTACTGGGGGGGGGGGGGG